TTATCTGCACATTTATACTCTGTATTTAATTTGTATCTTATCTTCTAAGGACAAGTTTCTAAACGCCGTTTTTGCACTGGAAATAAAACAAAATATTCTTATAGATAAAAATATTCATAATTATACATATGTATTTTAGAGGGAAAAATGTAATTTGAGGGTATGTTCTGACTAACAAATTTAATAACTCTAAATTTAGTCATTATGTGATTTTTTTCTTTGTAATTAGATTTATTGTTTATTTTTTGAAGGTGAAGGATTTGACGTTTGGGTTTTACTTAGCAGTCCATTTTTGTACTTTTCTTTATACATAGACCATTTTTCTTACCGTATCAAATTTAAAAAAAAAAAAAATTACCACCAACCATTTGAGTCCTTGAAGTCCGTTGTAGCAGAGGTCGAATTTTAAATGTACACTGCACGGGGGGGGGAGGGAGGGGAAGAACAGTTCGATTTCTCCCGTTCTACTCGGCCAATTGACGAAATTCAAATTGCGTTTTTCATGTCTCGAACGCACGACTTAGGATACATATTAGATTTATATACTATAACACTGTACATAGGTATTTTAACGAAACATCGGACTTTTTCTGAAAAAAACATATCATTTGTTTTCCATATATCGATTCTACGACTCAAATTATGCCTAGATATCAAATTTTGTAATTTTTGGTGAGAAATTTATCGAGAAATTTAAAAATTTATATTGGCGTATTTTTTTAGTTTGGTCCAAGAAAAAATTCATTTGGCGAACATCTTAATATATAACAACCTACTTTCTTTTCCCTTCCATTGTGCAGGAGCAAAAAAAAAGTAACTTCGTTCCTACCTTTTTACATTGTGCGTGAGAGGAAAAAAGTCACATCGTTCCTACTTTCAAATAATTCTAACAAAGAGCCTAAACCACATTTGATGTTTTATCGCTTTCAACAAATATACCAAATTTCAAGACGCTCCAGTATATAAATTCACGTATATCTTCGAAAATTTTGAATAAAAAACTCTAATGTTTTGCAGGTATGCTTAGAAATTCATCTACGAGTACTTTAAGATGATTGTAAAAGTTTTATTGATTATTATTATTTTTTTTCGAAAGATTTATAAAAATTATTTCAAAATACAAATTTTAAAACTAAATCTTAAAAATGGCTGAATTTTATTTGGACTGAGTCTAAATTTCGAAATGTGAAAGGGAGAACTAAATAAGTTTAATAAAAGAAGAGATATTAATAAATATATACCAAATTCAATTAACATTGAGGAGCTAAAATTTTGAGAGCTCATTGTTTAAAAACTATTCGTGTGATTTTTACGAAACTTACTAATTGGCATAATTTGAGTCGTAGAATCGAAAAATAGAAAAAAAAAATCGGCGTGTCATTTCAGAAAAAGTCCGATTTTATGTCAAAATACCTATATTAGAACAATGTTAGGTATAAACCAAATACACATCCTAAGTCGCGCTTTCGAAATACGAAAAACGCAAGTTGAATTTCGTCAATCGGCCGAGTAAAACGGGAGATATAGGTGTGAGGTTTTTTTTTTTTTTTTTTTTTTTTTTTTTGTGTGTGGTGTGTGTGGTGTGTGTGTGTGCAGTGTATATGGTTTAGAAATTAAATATTCATTTTATACTTGCCTAAAAGTGTAATACAAAATTACAATTTCTTCAACATATATATATGATTTTTATATCTATTTATATAGTCAATGAAATATTTATTGTCTCGCATAAATTTTAGAAACTTATCTAATTCATATAATATAGAATATTTCTATGCATTAAATGATGAAAAGAAATATAAATTTTAAACATTCGAAGAACAAAATAGTTTATATAACAGATTATTTTAAGTTAACAGAATATTTTAAGTTAACTCGAAGAAGAAACTGCGATGATTTTAAATGTGCATATAGTTTTCCTAAATATTTGTATAAATTAAATGTAAATGTCATTATGAATCCTACATCTTCGAATCTTAGATCTTTTGCGTGTATTGTATAAATTAAAAATTGCTGATAAAACTTCTTAAAGGTGTCCTGCAAGTCATTAAAAGTCATTCAAAACACCTATTACTTAAGTCAAGTCAGTAGATTGTTTGAGTAACAGTAAAAATTAACGTTTTTGAGGTTATCAACGACATTCAAGCATTTTAATTCTTTCCAGTTCTCTTCTTGCTCATACATAAGTTTATCAAAACGTCAAAGTGCATTTTATTACATAATAAAATACGTTTCATGACATAATAAAATAATGTTAAATATATGCATTTATGTTTGTAAAAGAGTGAAAATAAAGGGGATTATTTTTTTTTAAATGTAGACCTTTATCAATAAAAAGTTACATAATAACTTTAAAATGAAGTAGATTTAATTCTTTCTTTATGATAAATTTGAACACATCCGATGTACGTATTCTCGAAATGATAGTACAAAACTGATATAAACTAAAGTGGATTCAAGAAAATGATCTATAGTATTTTTTTGGGATAAGAAATTGAATTAAAAATGAAACATTCTATGGTATATTACAATGCCAGAAGCGAGTTAAAATGACAATTATAGCAGAATGAATTGAAAAGAAAATTTTGTGGAAGCATTTTTTAATGTCCTCCTTCTTTTCGTAAAAATCTGTTTTGTAATTTATTTCGCAAAGACAAATTTTAACTCAGTTTCAACAAATTTAATATCAAAACAAAGAAGTATGTGTAATCAAAGGAAGATGAGAATTCAGAATGAGTTTTTTTTTAAAAATAGATTGTTAGTTTTGTATTCCTTCCGAGAAATAATATTCCGATTGTAATGAGAAAATTTAAAGGTATAGCTGAGTTGACTGCAGTCATTTCTTATCTTACACACCGGAGTTATATAAGCATAAGAATCAGAAATTTGATTTCATTCGTTTTAAGGGCGATATATCTGATTAGAAGAATCATCGTGGAATTTTTCATAAATGAGGGAAGTTTTTGTTTTTAATTCCTATAGAAATTTTCAAAATTTATGGTATGACATTTTTGAAAATAAATTTCTTTATAAAAATAATCACAGCTGCTGTGAAAACTTATTTCTAGTAAAATATTTGCGCTGAATGTAATTAACACGAGAACCATTTCGAAACAATACAAGTAACAACAGCATAATGTGAAGTAATTTTGAACACGTTCATGACCACAGTTATTTTTAACTGAGTGTAAAAAACTTCAGTATGAATTTGGGTCCAAGGTTGAGATTTTCTGCCCACATAAGGTGCGCTGTCTTGTATTAGGGATTGAAAAGGCTATAAACAACTCAGCTTTTCGGAAGCTTTCGAGAATAGAAATGACCAATAAAATTATGGATACATTGGCAGCAAACATTTTATGAAAGAGCCTTGCGTCAGTAACCGTCCACTGACTGAAAATGTCAATTATTGACCTTCACCGATATTTGTGGCCCTACCAAGCTTCTGAATACGAATCTAGTATCTTAAAGCATTTTCGACAAATTGCGGGCGAAACAAGGTGCTACACTCTGTTCTTTTCCAAGCCGAATTGGGTATCTCTCTGTCTCCAGTCTGCCAATGATTCTCCAACTTATATTATCATCTATATGTCGCTAATGGAAACATTTACCACACTGCTTAAGAAAGTGAGTAAAACTTTACGATAAATGATGAGTTATGACTGATGTTTAAGAATAAAGTAAGAACAGAAGTTGTAAGCCATCATGCTACTTGCTTTAACGCGTGATTGAAATTTAGCTAGTTATCTCTTATCAATCTAAAGGTGATCGCCTTCACTAATGAATTAACAGGAATAGATCTGCTAGGTTCGTACCGTCATCTTGAAAAAATAGATATTTGCTAATAGTCTCGGATCATTTTTTAAAGTGAGTAGGAATAGTTCCCCTCAGCTTTCGCTAAAATGGTTGCATATTCTTTCTTAAATAAATTTATATTAAAAATAAGGAGCTCGAGGGATAACTGCGGTAATAAACATGCATTTGCCTTGAGGACTGCAAAACATGATACTGCTGGTAAGACTCCGCCTTAATTCTTTCTTGGGGAAAAGTTAATTACTCCCTTAGAAAAAAAACTCACCAGCGGCCGAGCGGTAAAGTCGCTGAACACTGGTAGTTCAGTCCGAGATTCGAATCCCGCGAAAGGGCTGGCTGCATGGGCGTTTTCGTGGTTTTCCCCATGTGTAACGTGTATACGAGCCAGTTTCCCTTAGAAAGTCCTCCACGAAGGCATCCCTCCTCTTAGGCAGATAGCCCTCGAGGCTTTGCCATACTTACACACACACACCCTTAGATAAAATGTTTTTTGTTCGAAAGAAAACTTAAGATGGTTACATCCAGGAAAAAGTGGATGAAGCAGTAAAAAAATCAGATATGATTCGAGGAAAGCAAAATTCTTTTAATGACAAGAAAAGCCGAGAAGTGGATTTTAAGGGGGAAAAGCTTTGGCAACTAAACATTCTCTTTCATGTGCCCCAGTAAGTAAAGTGAGAAAGTTTTGAGATAAGTTCGAAGCACCATTTTTGATTGAACGAATAAGAGGAACTACAGTTTATCTAAAGGCCAAAATGGTGAAAGGTTTAAAGCCAACTTAGATCAGATAAAACACTATTACGACCGCGTTGATATGTTTTTTCTTAAAGATGTTTTGTAGGATTCACCCAGTAGGAGCAACGAAGTACCAGCGGCGGATTTACCTTCAGCATCACAAATGCAGAGCTCGCAAAAAGACGAAAGATGTCCGGAAATGGTGAAAGAGACAAGAAAAGATTCAAGCTTGATGAATCAAAATGAAGCAAAGTCATCGATAAAGGAGAGCCAAGACAATGAAAGGAATTCGTCTCAGAAGGAGATGAAATTTCCAAAGTTCCAATAGATGCAGCGATCAATAGAGGTATCAATAACATCGACCGAAAAATCAGCGAATTATTTTGTTGTTAAAATTCAGGTTAAAACTTGCAAATTTCAATTTAAAACTTGGAAAAAGAAGTAAAAAGTATACTTACCTAAAATAAAAGAATATGTACATAGAGATGACAAGAAAAACTAATGATATACTAAGTCCCGTCATTTCTATCACTCTAGTTTCTTTGGCTATTTGAACCTTCCTCTGTTAAAAAAAAGAATTTTGTTAGTGTAAGTACGTTTAAAGTATGAGAATCATTTTCAGCGTAATGTGCCAATTGTTACACTTAAATACATAGTAAGACATTTTATAAACTTCTTTATTATATATTTTACAAACGCAGCATGTGATACTAAGAACAAATATTAAATTCTCATATCAATTCTAAAACCGAATTTTGATATTAGAAATGCGTTTGTGGTCCTCGCAATGCAAAGCGTATTTCATCCAGCCGGTATATCCGTTTGTTCTGGCAATATCAGTTGGATATAATTCCTCATATCCACAGATTCAGTCACTGAAGTTGTGACTTTGTAGAGACGTTAGCAGGAGCCATGAAAAATGAGCAATGCCCACGCCGGGACTCGAATCACGGACCTCTCGAATTCGCGTCGTGCGTACTGACTGCTACACCACGAAGACATGCCAAGTAGGCAGGAGAAATACCTTATAACTTTTATATTATTATTCAGATTAGAACTTTTGAGCATCTGCTGTAATTTTCGTACGTGTACGCTTACATTACAAATAATATTAAGAATAAAGTTGTAGCATCATTGATTTAATTCTTTAGTTCTTATTGTTTGTTTAGTTTTAGTGCCACGTGTTATATTTCGGGACATATTTTCTGTATGAATACTGCTCGTTGGCATTTTCTTACGAACCACGGTTTTCCAAATGCCATCTGGGCAAGCTAACAATAGCTTATGCCACTACAACACGTGCTGAAAAAAATGGAATAATTCCTTGAACGTTTTTCGCTATACCAACAGAAATACTTCTAGATTTCGGGCTCCAGTGTAAATATTATCAAGATTTTGGAGCAGAATATGAAAAATCTCTCTGCGCGTATGGTCGGGATCGAAACCACGAAGGAAGTTTGCTAGTTGAACTAATACAATGACAACAAGAGTAAAAGAATGCAATAATTCTTTACAAACTTGTAAAGTTTTAAAGAGTTCTGAAGTGTCCTGTGGTTTTATTTTTAGCATTCTGTTGCTCGTTTTTCGTATATATTAAGGTTTTCTTTCCTAAATGACAACAGAAACGCGTTAACAATAATTCTTCCGATAAAATATTTAAGACAGATCAGTTTTAGGAACGACGTCTTCTCAATAAGACCCTTCGTAGACGGGTTTCTAAAGATGATTCGTTCTTCTTCTAGAGAACACTTGAAAGAGACAAAACAGCCTACAAGACAGATGACGGGATTGTAAATTGCAACTTTTTACTGTTCTTTGGTAGAGTTTTCTTCTGTTCGTTTTAAGTGGAACAATATAGTGCTTTGAAAGCTTTTCATACACAAAATTATATTTTAGAAATATTTAAGAAAAAATACTTAATAGCCAGTTTAAATAATGTTGAATATTTTAATCCTGATATTTAAATCCTCTCTCATAAACTTTATGCTTGGTGTAATATGATGCAAAATTTCAACTAAGACACTTTTTTAAAACATTCAGGCACTGAACTACGGATTTATTTAAACTTTCGGAGCCTTTCATTATAAGTTTCGTTACAATATGTGAACTACGAATGGTTTTAAGGTTTGACAATTTTTCATAGTACCATTTAACTATTTCAAACGCTTATACAAACAAAATCGCTTTTATTAATAATTTGTTTTCTTTTTCCTCATCAATTAATTTAAAGTAAGAAAAATAGAAGGTTTTGATTGCTTTTGAACCTCAGTTGTAGAGGACATTGTTAGTCGCGCCGCGATCATGCTTCAAAAATTGAGCAAACGGCACTAACTTAAAATTCCTGGTGAAATTACAAAATTTAAGTTTAAGGAATGTTTTCATATGTTAAAGGAGGTGTTTAGTGATAATGCTATGTCACTTCCGCGAGTTTTTGTATAGCACAAACGGTTTTCAGAAGATCAGGAAGAGGTTGAAGATGATGAAAATCCCAGGCGATCTGTGATTTCGAGAACTGAAAGAAATAATCAGAAAATTAATGAAATTGTGCCGAAAGACTGACGTCTGTGCATTCGGATGATTCAGAGATAGTGAGCATTAACAAAGAGACAGTAAGACAAATTTTACGTGAGGAATTAAACATGACAAAAGTTTGTGCAAAAGTGGTACCGAAAAACCTCTCATATTATTTATATTATTATATAATTGTTTCAAAAGAATAAATTGAATTTAAATAAATTTAATTTAAATACGAATTTAATTAATTACTTATTAATTTACTTATGCTTTTTTGAATTTAAATGATATTGTAGATTAGTTCGAAAATTAAATCTTTTATATGTTTGCACATTTTTTTATTTATTTTAACTTTAAATTTGCTTTTTTATGTATATACATGTTTGTTAAAATTTTAATTTGTTTAAATATATCTATATATAAATATATATATAAATCTGAAATGTTTCAGATTTTAGACGTTTCTCTTAACATTTTGTGTGCTACATTTATTTATTAAATATCATGTTCTTCGCACTTAACTATAAAATTCCGTTCAACAGCAATGTCACAAAATATTTTTAAAATCAGCATATCTTTAGAATTTCCGTTATACAGTTCCGCGTGCTGGAGATAAAAAGGTTTCTTTCCCTCGTAGATTTCAAATTTGAGCTTTCAAATTCCCATATTCGCAGTAGGATTACGTCATTCAAAATTCGATGGATCTTGGTATCGTTGTTTTATCACAATGCGATAAACATAAATTTATACAGATTCTTCATTATCTGTTTTTTTTTTTTTTTTTCAAATATAATACAGGGCGATAGTATTTGGTTGCAACGATTTGAAAGGTGATACAGTCTTTTAAAGTTTTCAATGCAAAATTGCAAAACGAAAACAATAGTCCTTCAGGGACAAAGCCTCTTTTGGACTAAAAAAAAGGGGAAGAACATTTGCTCTGTAGTCATAGAACGACACAACAAAGAACCGGACTGGCTGACGCGTGTCATCACATATAATGAAACATGGATCTTCCAATAGGACCCAGAAACAAAGCGTCAATCGATGCACTGGAAGATCCCCCAATGGCCAAGAATGAAAAAAGCATCAATGAGCAAGAACTGAAGTCAGTACCGATAACTCTTTTTGGTATTGGGTGTGTTGTGACTGAATCTGTGCCTAAGCGTCAAACCGTTAATCAGAACTACTACAAAGAAAGCCTAATCAAATTGAGTGACAGGATAAGGAAGAAAAGACCGGATTTGTGGAAGAACGACTCATAGATTCTGCATCAGGACAAAGCGTCAGCTTTCCCTATGCCCTATTCGTGAAAGACGTTTTAGCGGAAAAGCGCATTCCTGTGCTCGAGCATCCTCCGTATACTACAGATCTGACTCCATGTGACTTTTATCTGTTATCAAAATAAACGTGCATTGAAGCGAGCACATTTTCAATCTGTTGAAGAGGTAAAAGAAGCCCATTCGGTACTAATCGAACACAGGTCGAAATATCTCAGATAATTTGCCGCTCGGCCGCAGGTGTATCCCTGTCCTGTGGGTGAAAAATTGCATGCAGTCAATGTGAAAGAACTGCACTAGATAGAATGTCGGAAATCTTCCCAACTCAGCTTTTGTCAATCTTTGGCGCATTTAAACCTTGATTTCCGCAGTAACTGAATAGCGTGGCTTTCGAACCCGTTGTAGTTGCTATAATTAACAGTTTGAGTAGTCTAATATATGAAATCTGATCTTGATCTGAAAAACATAACGTGTTGCAAGCCGTGTTCAAAGACTATCTAGAAATAGCAGCTCTACTTCAATGTCGTGTGGACGCTGGAAATATTTTTCTTACGAGATATGTCAAAGCTGGAGATATCCTTTACCTTTGAAATTATAAATCCCGCTTATTATATAGCTTAATAATAGATCTCAAGTTCATCGCAATATCATCAGTCAAAGTTAGAGAAGTAATTTGATTGCAGAGAATAAAAGAAAAGTTTACGAACATAGTAATAAAAATAATTAGAGCGCAGCTAAATAAACAATATCATCTAAATTGATATTTGCATTAGTAAATATTTATTTATTTATTTGCATTATCCTTCATATTTTAGCAATCTATAGATATATACGAGATTTTTATTTAAGTGGTGTTATGTTTTAACACCCTTATGCAAACGTTTTCTCTATCTTTAGTCCCATTACACCTTTTTAAATTTAGAAAAGAAAATTTGGCTTTCAAAATATGTGAATACTGATGATAATGTATAGAAAACACACTTTACTTAGTAAAACACTTTTTATTTTATTCCAATAAGTAACAAACATTTACTGGACCAGCAAATTTGATTGAGTATTTTCAGAGGTTATTCAGTGGTTTTGTTGGGAATTTAGAATAAATTTTCTTTTAATAATTTTTACTGCAAATTCAGGTAAAGGGAAGAATTAAAATTTTTTAAATAAAAAAAATTGCAGCAATTATAATAACAATTAAGAAATAGTGGGAATTCTTAAAATTCTTGAATTTATTTGATGCAAAAAATTTTCCTGTATTACCGGAGAAGCCACCTAGACGTTAAAGCGATTAGTGATTCTGACTGCCGTACAGAAGAGCCTGTGTTCGAATCTCGGATGAGGTATGGATGCAAATTATCTGTCCCTTAATTAGAAACACCAACGGCAGCCTATTAGGTGCCTCCATAATGAAATGAATGAGCTTCTGGTCTTAAATAGTGGGAAAAGCCTAAATGGCTAGTGCACACCATTAAAAAACAGTTTTATCTCAGAAAATTTCCTACCATTCGACAAACTAATCGCAGAAATTTGCTTACTAGTACCTTATTTTTTATATAAGTATATTTCATAAAAATAATCCTTTTGCAACGTCTGAGAAGATGCTCTAACTTTCTCCAAACTGAAGCGCTCAGTTTTCTTAACCTAAATCTATTATTCAGAAATCGTTTAATTATTTAAGAAGGTACCTTTTTTGAAAGATAAATTAACTGTTTATAAAGTTCTATACCAAATCGTGTCATGATGAGATTGGAAAAAGAAAGATAATTCTTCGATT